TTGCTGGTTCCATCCCTATCAGGGTACATACAAGAAGTAACCATGCCCAGCTGGCAAGGCTCAGTGATTGAGCCTCAACCTATGAACCAGGAGGTCACGGCTGGATTCCCAGTCAGGGCACATGCCCGGGTTTCGGGCTTGATCCCCACTGGGGGCATGCAGGAGTGACCAATCGATGATTCTCTCTCATCATTGATGTTTCTATCTCTCTCTCTCCCTCTCCCTTTCTCTCTGAAATCAATAAAAACATATTTTAAAAAAAAGAATTCTTAAAACACAACAATAAGCAAACAACCCAATTTAAAAAGGGCAAAAAATCTGAACAGACACTTCACTAAAAAAGGCATATGGATGGCAAATAACCACATGGGAAAATGCTCCGCATTAGTCACTAGGGAAATGCAAATTAAAATGATAATGAGATGCCATTATGCACCTATAAGAGTGAATAAGTTAAAAAGACTGACCATTCTAAGTGTTGACAAGGATGGACAGAACTGGAACTCATATACTTCTGGTGGGAAAAGTAAAATTGTACCACTTTGTAATACTATTTGTTAATGTCCTAAAAAAATTAAACGTATGATCAGCCATTCTACTCCTAGGTATTTACCCACGAGAAATGAAAGCATATGTCCATAGAAAGACTTGTGCATAATGTTTATTTATAATAACTGCCCCCCCATCCCTAATCCCTGGCAACCACTATTCTGTCCTCCATGTCTAAAATTTTGTCATTTCAAAAATGTTGTATTAGTAGAATCAATACTGATGTATTCCTTTGGGATCGGCTTTTTTTTTTTTTTTTCACAAAGCATAACATTTCCAGGAGATTCAGCCAAGTTGTGGCATGTATAAATTGTTCATTTATTTTTATTGTTGAGTTATATTCCATGGTATACATTTATACTGTAATTTATTTTTATGGGTCATTTTAAAATACAAAATTATTATCATTACCTGCTGCTTGCAAAGGGCACCAATAATTTATTTTGCAGTTGTTGGGTGGCATGTTCTCTAAATATTCTGACATATAACATGCAAAATAAGTGTTAATTGGCTGTTTATGTTATCAGTAAGGCTCCCAGTCAATAGTAGTTAAGTTTTTGGGAGTCAAAAGTTATACATGGATTTTCAGCTGTGTGGGGTTGGGCGCCTCTAATCTCCACATTGTTCAAAGGTGAACTGTAGTTGTTTGTCTATCATCTTGTTATTTTTTCTATCTGTACTTGTGTCATTTATTTCTGACTTCTTTTGGATTGAGGATATTTTAAAAGTCCATTTTATCTCCTCTATTGGGTTTTTATATCCACATTTTTTGGTGGTTGCTCTAAGAATTACAATATGAATCCCTAACTTATCCCAATGTTCCCTGAATTAAAATTATACCTCTTCATGTACTAGTATAATGTAAGAATCTTACAACAGTATAATTCCATTGGTATCCCTCTCCACTTGTTATAAAACTAACAATATATTATTATTTTTAAATAGATATTTGTATTTAAATTTTTTTAAGGATTTTAAAAAGTCTTCTATGCATAGTTGCCTTTTCTGGTGCTCTTTATTCCTTCTGTAGACCCAAGCTTCCACTTGAAGTCATTTCCCTTCAGCTTAAAAACTTCCTTAGCTTTTCTTAAAGTCTGGGTCTCCTGGCAATGAAATTGGGTACCTGTCATTTAATAAGGCTTGCTACCATGTCTGTTGCATTATAGGATTCAGACAATACTAGCAATTCCCTGGGTGATGGCGAACCTTTTGAGCTCGGCGTGTCAGCATTTTGAAAAACCCTAACTTAACTCTGGTACCGTGTCACATATAAAAATTTTTTGATATTTGCAACCATAGTAAAACAAAGATGTATATTTTTGATATTTATTTTATATATTTAAATGCCATTTAACAAAGAAAAATCAACCAAAAAAATGAGTTCGTGTGTCACCTCTGACACGTGTGTCATAGGTTCGCCATCACTGGAATAGACTCACCCCAGTCCTCAAACCCCAGCAACCTCTTCCTGGCAGTCTGAAAAGGAGCTGGGTCTGATGGTGATCAAAGAGGTCCCAGAGAATGAGACACCTGCAATGGCTTCCCACAGCCCAGTCTTCCTTCCAGTCATGTTCCCACAACAAACTTAGGGTCCACCTAAACCTCCCACTTAGAGCAGGAGCAGTGAGGCTATTGTACAGGCTGAGTGTTGTCTCTTCAAGGCCTAAGAACGTCATCCCTCAGAGCCCTTTCTTTGATCTCTTTATGGACTGCAGATAGCAGAGGGTGGCCTCCTGGTGGTTAGAGATGACCTGTCCCTCCTGCCCTCTTCCCTGCTCTAGTAACAGACTGGACCCTGACACTTACACTTCCCTGAGCCTCTCTTAGCCTCCCAGAGGTTTTGCTCAGGGATCTCAGCTTTTTCAGAGGGAACTTGGCTACTCATGAGTCTTTTATGGATGCTAAGGACGTCTCTTCAAGATTAAGGTCATGTCCACTTTCGTGTGTACTGTCAGGGCCTTAGCTGCCGACTCCATTGATTGGGTATTTATCCACAAGCCTTTATGCTGCCTCCTTGTCTTTCTCCTTCTCCTGAGTTCCTTTTCCGGACCCTGCAGTGGCCTCCACACAGGCCATATTTGCTATGTGCAGCAAGCAAACCTACGATGATGGCCTCTCTTATGTCATGTGGTACAGTGTGGGCAGCCAGACTGTCCCCCTCTAACTGGGTGCCCCTGGGCACATTCTATAAGCCCTAAGCCCTTGCAGCTTTAGTTTATTCACCTGTTAACAGGACTGTTGTGAAAATGAAATGATATTAATCATGTGAAGTCTTTAGTACAGAATCTGGAAGCTGATGAGTTGCCCAAGTTAGGTATTGTGGTTTCAGCCCTGCCCTCCAACATTTTTCCCAACTCCCTTTCCAGCCTCAATTCATTTGCCGAGGGGTTTGGCTCCTGTATGTTGCTGGATATTCAGGAATGTGACCTCATTTTGCAGAGTGCCACTGGCTTTCACATTTGGCCTCCCAGGAAGGGATGTCAGGCCTCAGACACTAGCAGGTAGAAGGGATGTCAGGCCTCAGACACTAGCAGGTAGATCCTAGGGACTTGCCACATGCTCTCTCAGTTTTCCACCTAGTGGCCTACTGGGGTCAGAGAGGTAAGATGGGTGAGGCCTTGCTTCCAAGGAGCTCACATCTGCGTGGGGGAGAAGACCCAGAAGCCACAACTACCGCTTCCGGTTCAGGGAAAGACTGCCAGATGTTCCTAGTCTCAGGATCCCTGGGGAGCACCTGGATCCAGCATCCAGAGTCTCCCCGACATCGATGAAGCCTGGCTAGAACACTGATGGACGAATGGGAGGTAGCAAGACAGACAGTGAGGGAAGGGCATCCAGGCATAGGGAAGAGCATTTAAGGCGGCTCGAAAAAGCCCGATACATTACTGGAAGTCCACTCCTGAGTGAGGGCTAAAAACCTTCAACCCACAAGGCATCCAAGACCAAACCCTCTCCCTTGAATGCAAAGCCCTTCACAATCTTGCCCCACCTTCCTTCCCCTCTCTCCTCCCACCCCCATCCTCAAACCCCGACCCTTTATTACAGCCACTCTGGTGGTTTCCTGTTCTCCACACGGGCCATTCTCGTTGGCCTCCAGGCCTTTGCCCAGGCTGCTCCCTCTGCAGGGAATGTCCTGATCTTCAGAGCTCACTCCCTCTCCTCTTCCAAAACCCAACTCAGGAGACATCTCCACTAGAAGCCCTTCCAGTAGGAGTAGGAGTCCTGGGCTACCCCTTAGAAACCAGCCCGTTATTTTTGTTGAATAATTATTTAATCATGCCAAGGAAATATTCCCTGTGGCTGGCGACACGCCCCCGCCCTCCGCACACCTTTGCCCATGCTTAGTGAAAGCTTCTGGAGGCAGGCGTCATTTCTTATGCTCTTTCTTCCATGTCTAACTCTGTACCTGCCACCCAGGAGGTTCCCAGCACGTGTTTGTTGAATGCAAAGAGCCTGAGCTGAGGTGTATATGGGGTAAGTTTACTCTGCCTCCTATTTCTGTACAGTCAGTGTAAGAACACAGCCTGCGGTAAGCACCAGGAGGCCCAGGCGTCATTTCTTATGCTCTTTGCTCTTTCTTCCATGTCTAACTCTGTACCTGCCACCCAGGAGGTTCCCAGCACGTGTTTGTTGAATGAATAAATGATCGGCAGGCCGTTTCACATTATATGTACCGTCCACCAAGCCCCGCCCGCGTCTTCGCCTCGACCCCCAGCTCCTGTCCCCAGCGCCCGGAGGACTTGCTGCTTGAGCGGCCGCGCACAGACACCGACCCCTGCCCACCCCCTGGGCGCCCCGCCCGAGCCGGCTGGAGCCGCCCCGCCCACATCGGTCTTCGGGGATTGTGCCACCGCCG